TGACATCTTGTTTTGGGTTTGTGTAGAGTGTGAGGTAGTCTACTTCTTCACTAACATTGTGGTAGAGTTTTTCCATGCCTGAGACCTTAGCAGGCTCTTGGTCTGAAAACCTTGGCTTAGGAAGTCACTGCTCCAGAGGAGGGCAGGACAACTACCCTGCCTGAGTATCTGTCTGTGCTTTGACTCAAGGGAAGATTTGCTTCAGTTGGGGAGAGATAAGGCCTGTGAGTCAGCAGTCTCCTCTGTCAGGCAACTGCTGCAGCTAAACTAGGTGGGTCCAAGGTGTCCAGGGCTAAAAGCAGCTCAAGGTCTGGGAAGAGATGAAATGGGATAATCTGTGATATTGGGGTCCTTGGTGCAGTTCAGAGGGGTGGCAGTGGGTCATCCTTCAGATGGCAGGTTGTCCAGGAGGCAGGCAGTGGGGCTGGGCTTCCAGGAAGTGGATGGGAGAGTCTCAGCAGCAGGGCTGTGGGGACAGGTCCTCTAGGTGGTGGGGCTCAGACGTCCCAGCACCTGGTCAAGTATCCAGGTGGTAGGAACAGGTCCCCCAAGCAGCAGGTTTGAGGGTACAGGTAGCAGGCTGGGGCCACCAGGTGGAGTGGCTGAGAGCCTGAGGGCCTCTAAGCAGCTGGACCTCAGTCTAGTACTCCATGTAGGAAAGCAGTCCAGGCCACACTAATAACTTTTAAATACAGGTACATAGTTAATCGACTGCAACAGATCCATGGCTGCTGCTGATGATGTGTGCAGCAGCTTGCAATTCATCTTTTGATTTCCTGACTGCCACTGTAAAGGGTGTTGATTGTTGATCTGAGCAAGATGAAACTGTTAACAATTTCAATCTTTTCTCCATGCATCACGAAGCTATCTATTAGACCAGTGGTGAGGATTTTTGTTTTCTTGATGCAAGGCACAATCCATATTAAAGGCTACAGTCCTAGATTTCTGGAAGTGCCTGAAATCCTTAGTTATGGTGAGCAAAGTTATGCCATTGGCATAATGCAGGTTGTTGATGCATCTTCCTGAAATCCTGATGCCACATTCTCCTTTATAAAGTCCAGCCTTTTGAACATTCTGTTCAGCATATAAATTGAATAAGTATCAAGAAGGGCTATATCCCTGAAATATTTCTTTCTGGATTTTGAAGCATGCATGACTCTGAACCCTTGCTCTGTTCAGATAAGAGCTTCTAGTCTAGGTATAGATTTTGTATGAGCACAATATTTCCGTTCTTCTCTATGTTATCCATTAATTTTTTTTGGATCCACATGGTCAAATGCCTTTGCATAGTCAATAAAACCGTCCTTCTAGTACTCTCTTCTTTCAGCCAAGATTCATCTGATTGTCAGTCATGATATCCCTAGTGCCATGTCCTCTTCTAAATCCAACTTGATTTCTGGTAGCTCTCTGTTGTTATACTGTTCCAGCAAGATTTAGCTTGCTTGTAATATGAGTGATATTGTTCAATAATTTCCACATTCTGTAGGATCACTATTTTGGGGAATGGGAATAAATATGGATATCTTCTAGTCAGTTGGTCATGTAGTTTGCTTTCAGGTTTCTTAGCACAACTTGGTGAGCACATCTAGGGCTTTACCTTTGTTGAAAGATGTCAGTTGGTATTTCATCAATTTCTGAGGCTTTATTTTTTTACAATTCCTTCAGAGGAGCTTGAACTTCTCCCTTTAATAGTATTTGTTCTAGATCATGTGCTGCTTCTTGAAATGCTTCTGTGTCAGCCAATTCTTTTTGGTACAGTGACTGTGTATTCCTTCCATCTTCTCTGGAGTCTTCTTTGATCATTTGAGATTTTGTTCATATATTTTTCAGTATGGCAACTCAAAGTTAGAATTTGTTCTTCAGTTCCCTCAGGTTGGGAAATGCTAAGTGAGTCTTCCCTTTTGGTTTTCTGAATCCATCTCTGTGCATATTTTGTTCTAATATGTTTTGTCTTCAACTCTTTATTTTACCTTTGTTTTGACCTCTGGACATTCTAGTACAATATTCAGTCCACTCTGACTGCCATTTGATCTTTTCTTCCTCTTCTGTCTTTGTAATGACTTTTTGCTTTCTTCATGGCTTATGTCCTTGATAATGTACCACAATTCATCTGTTTCTCTTTCATTAGAATTTAATGCCTCAAATGTGTTTTTGAGATGATTTTTAAATTCAGGGAGGTTAGACTCAGGTCATATTTTGGTTCTTGTTGATTTATTTTCATTTTCTTTAGCTTTGGAGGCAGGAATGGCAGCCACCTCCTAAATAACATTCCTCTGGAAACTCTATGAACTTTGATAAATGATGATAGTTACAGAAAAGCTTCAGGCATTTTGTTCATAGAGTCACTATGAGTCATGCTCAACGTGACAGCAATCAACACAACAACAATGTGAGCTTGCACATGAGTATTTGATGATCTGTTCCATGGTCAGCACTTGGCCTGATTTTGGCTGCTGCTATTAAGCATCTCCAACTATTTTTTCCATGTTGTTGTTGTTGTTAGGTGCCATCGAGTAGGACTCACAGAGACCCTATGAAAAACAGATCTGAACCCTTACCTATCCTGTGCCATCTTCACGCTTCCTGACACATTAGAGCCCACTAACATTACATTTTTTTCCGTAGATGTAACCAATCTGATTCAGGAGAGGTCTATGTATTGCTGTTTGTGTTTTTATAAAAAAAGTATTTGCAATGAATAAATCGTTGATGGTATAAAATTCTATCATTCTATCTCCAAAATGATTTCTATCACCAAGGACATAGTTTCCAACTTCTGGTCCTTCTTCTTTGTTTTCTTTGTTTCCAACTTTTTTTTTTTTCTATAATTGTATTTTATTAATTTTCATAAACATTTACAGAGATTTTGGGCTTCCACTCATTCATTGTTGCACTATTCTCTCTACCCTCCTCCCAGT